GGCCAAACAGTCTCCCATCATCCTTTAATCTTTCAGTAAGTCAAGGTTGAGGCCCAGAAAGCAGTGTTTTTGTTGTTGTTGTATCCTAAGGTGATTCTTACTTCCCATAGTCTATACCATTTGGTGACTCTTGATCTAGTCTAAAGTCTTAATTTTATTTAAAAATTATACATGTATTTATCCTTTCAGCACAGAAAACCAGGAAGAACTTCCTCTCCAATTCTATTTTCCCCTCTATTCAGTCAAGATAAAGAGATTACAATACATGCTCATGTTTAGAAAATTCAAGTGACCTAATACCACAAAAAATGAAAAGCAAAAGCATCTTGTTGGTGAACTCTACCAGAAGGTGACCGCTATTAACCCTTTCTTTGGATGGCTTACTCTCACAATTATTTTCCGTGGTTGTGTCCTTACTTTCCCATCTACTCAATTTACAAAATCTAAACCCTATACACATTATCTTGTACCTTATTTATCCTTTTTTTCCACTTAAATTATTTAGGTGGGGGCTGAGGATATAGCGCAGCAGGTCAGGTGTTTGCTCTCTGGCACTGTGTGAATTGAGTATAATGCACACGGGTGAGCCCAGCACTCTGGAGGTGGAGGTCATCTTTGGCTACATAGTAGATTCAAGGCCAACCTAGTCACATGAGACTTTGTTTTAAGAAAATATTGGCAGCAGGTGGGGTGGGTGGAGCTGGATTGATGCAGCAGTTAAGAGCACTTGTTGCTCTTGCAGAGGACCTGGGTTTGATTTCCACAGCACCCACATGGTAGTTCACAACTGCCTCTAACTCCAGTTCCAAGGGATCCCACTCGTCTTCTGGCCTCCATGGGCACTGCACATAGGTGGTACACAGATGTACATGCAACCAAAAACACTCACACACATAAATTAAAAAAATAAATCTTAAAAATATTTTGGAGTTCATCAATGTCAGATTATCCCCTCCTTTCCTTATTTCTCCCTTTCTCTCACCCTCCCCCTCAGATAACATCTCTGTGTAGCTTAGGCTGGCTTCAAACTTGAGTTCCTCTTATGTCTGTCTCTGAAATACTGAGTTACAGGCCTGTGCTAACATGCCCAGCTTTCAAGGGCTCCACTTCAAAACATTATCATTGAATTAACTTTCTACCTTCTGAATCTCTAGAAATGGAGATTAGATTAACACAGGGATCCATGAAGGACACATCCAGTCTATATCTAAACCATAGCATGTGGATATTCCTCATTTAATCTTATTATTAGTGGACACTTGAATTGTATCCATTGTACAGTATGTATATGTTGGGTTCTCTACTGGTCCTGGGTGTGATGGGTACTACCAGAGAGTGGTAACAGGGGCACTGAATCAGAGGCATTAGGAAAGACAAGCTGGTGGTTAGGGAAAAAGGAAATAAGGGTGGAATTGGGAATTTTGCTGGGACCTGGAGTCATAGAATTAGAGGTCTTAGATTAGACGGGCTGTAGGAGGTTATGCCAGCCTCACGTCGTCTGGACAGAGAGTGCACTGCATTGTTCGTCCCGAGCTGTGCAGTGAGGTGACCTGGGGAGCCAAAGTCAACTCACTGAAGGGAAAACAGGGGAGCTGTAGGTTCTTAATATATTTTTCTCTGCACATGCCAGACTTCATTTTGTTTTTATTAACATATATAATCATACATAATAGGGTTAATTATGACATTCTCATATATGTGTATAATCTATTTTGATCACATTCTTATTGCTCTCTTGTTTCCCTCTTAATTCCTCTGATCCTTTTCCTAACTAACCCCTATTTCTACTACTACTACTACTTTCATATCTTTAAGAAAAATAAAAAAAAAGATGTTTACTTGTGTGTGTGTGTGTGTGTGTGTGTGTGTGTGTGTGTGTGTGCACACCACACACTTGAGGACACCGTGGTGCATATGTGGAGGTCAGAGGACAACTTGGGCGATTCATTTCTCTCCTTCCACTGTGTGAATCTCAAGGATTGAACTCAGATGGTCAGGGAGAGCAAGTTCCTTTACCTGCTGAGCCACCTCACCATATCCCTCCATATTTCAGTGACCCAGTCAGTTTCATTGCGGTTGTTTATGGGAACATGGGTGGAAAATTATTTTCAGGAGCATAGGTGTCTCACTGATGACCACACCACTGAAGAAAATGTCTTCCCCACAACCATTGACTGCCTATAGATCCTCCGGGAAGGGGAGACTTTGTGAACCCCTCACCCATCCATGGCAGGATATCGATGGGCCCAGTGACGTGCGGTCTTGTGCAGGTAAGGACAGCTGCTTTGATATCAAGAGTGCAGTGGCCATGTTCTACCCAGAAGACAGCATTCCACCACAGTCTTAGGCTTCCTCTGGCTCTTCCGTTCTTTCTGCCCCCCCTCTTCTGTTGTGTTTCCCGAACCTTTATAGGGCATGACATAAATGTTTTATTTACGGCGACATTCAATAGTCATGTTCTGCACTTTGACCAGTTATGAGGCTCTGCAGTTAGTGCTGTCTACTATAAAAAGAAGCTTCTCTGAGAACAGCAGTAATTTATGGGTATAAACATAATTATTTAGAAGGCAGTTTGTTTAACATTGAACTTTCTATGTTGTTTTTGGAGGTGGTATTCCATGCAGCTGTTTCTGATGGTTGCTATTGATATGTTAGATCTGGACAAAAATTAATGTAGACTAGGAGAAGAAGATGGCATTGTCTAGTCATATCCCAAAGTTTAAAACATTTCACAGGGGCTGGAGAGATGGCTCTGCAGTTAATAGCATTTATTGATCTTCCAGAAGACCAGAGTTTGATTCCCAAAGCTAACATCTGGGGGAATCCACGCCTCTAGTATCTGAGGGTACCTACACACACACACACACACACACACACACACACACACACACACACACACACACACGCAACAGTGTCAACAGGTACACGCATACTAACTTGTTAGGACAGAAATCCTTGCTAGATTGTTTGAACCTAACTACTTAGTACACGGAGTTGCAAGATACTTCTTTGGCTTGAGGTACTTTGAGAACAACTACCAAGACACTGAGACATTGTGAAACAGAATGTCTTACCTATCTGAATTTAGTTAATTTTTTGGCAAGGTCTTGCTACATTGTAGCCCAGGTTGGCCTCAAACTCCTGATCTTTTTGCCTTATCTTCTCACTTGTGTTACAGGCATGTTGAACTTTCTTTTTTAGATACCAAATGGACATTGGTTTAAACAGAACCTGGAAATTATTGGCTGGCTCGTATGTTTGGCATGTCTAGGGTTGCAAACGGCATCAAACGTGGCTTGGTTCAGGTGCTCACTGTCGAGTGATATCAGATGAGAGCTACCAAGGCTCTACCTGTGTTTAACTCTAAGACAGGCGCTCTACCTGTGAACAAAAGAGCCCCACCCTTTCCAGATATACAGCCTTTCAATTTAGCCACCCCGACCCTTTCCCAAGAGCTTGGGCATAAAAGTACTGGAGAAGACTTTGGTGGACCAGTCTGAGTCCCTAAGGTATTCCCAAATGTGGTTATTGAGATTCTCTATGCTATGCCTAAGTCAGATCTCCATCCTTGTGCTTGGTGGATGTCCCAAGGAACCCACAAGGAATAAGTAGGCAGGCTTTCTGTAGAAAAAAGAAAGTTGCCTCAATCCTTGCCACAAACAACAGGACCTAAGTCCAATTCCCAGTGTCTGTGTAAAAAGCTGGGTGTGGTAGTGCATGCTTTTAATCCCAGAGCCAGGGAGCCAGAGGCAGGCAGATCCCTGGAGCTTGCTGGCAGTCTGCCAAGCTGAATCTACAAGCCCTAGGTCCCAGTGAGAGACCCCGACTCAGAAACCACGCTGTGCATGGTAGCTGGAGCTGAGTGGGGCCAGTTAGGATGGTTACAGATGCGCTCTGCCAGCTTTCCCACAGTGCTTTGTGTGCTACTGTTCTTGCTTGTGTTTCTCTGTTACCATGTGGCTGTCAGCAGTTTTAAGAAGAGGAATGAAAGTGGTGTTTTTCCTGCCCCAGGGTTCCAGTGCATAATACTAGGTTCTGCTGAGATGAGGGCTGTGAGGGGCCACAGTATAAAATTCAGGGGTCACTTGGATTTTCCAAACACTTTGTCTTCCTTAACCCCGTGAAACCCAAAGATGCCTTGAATATGTATAGGGGCTTTCTTTTCTACTTCCTGCCTAATTAAAAAAAAATACGGCTATTATTAAAAAAAAAAAAAAAACACCCCAAAGCAAGATAGATAATACCTGAGGAATGACATTCAAGGTTGTTCTTGTCCTATATCTTCCATATACAGAACATACATGTTCATGTGCATATGTACACACATATTCTCCTTCCCCCCTAAAAAAGCAATGGAACACAACAAAAACAGTGAACTATCACTTTATGGATGAGGGAAACAGACTGGTAGTTTAAACAATAAGCATGAAAAGTTCATCTATCTGGGTTTATTTCCTAGGCCAAATTCATGACATCTACATGGCTTTGATTTCCATTGTCAATCAATGGAATATGGGAATCATGGGAATAACTGAAGATAAAGGCTAAGAAACCTAACACGAATAGTTATTGAAGTCCCTCATCATTGGATTGGTAATTGATATGAGGATAGAATGAATTAGTAGTCATAAAGTGCCTTGCATAAGGGGCAGGAGAGGTGGCTCTGTGGTTAAGAGCACTTGCTGCTTTTGCAGAGGAGTGGAGACAGCCCACAGGTCAGGCGGCTCAGAACCACTTATAACTCCAACTGCAGGGGACCTGAAATCTTTTGGTCTCTGCAGAAACACGTATGAATGCAGACATGTGCACTTGTGTGGACACACATAATAAAAAGAAATATTAAAAAGTGTTTTGCATGTTCTTGGTAATAGGATACTGTGGCAAATGATGCCATCACACCACTAATGATCACAGCAACTCTGACTTCTGGAGATCTCCTTCCTAGGAGGGTGGCAGGGAGAGGGTGCTCGAAATTGACTTTCCTTTCCTGTCCATTCCAGGGCCGAAATGGATGCTATCAGCCAATCACCTGTGGATGTCCTGCTTCCCAAGCACATTCTGGATATCTGGGCCATTGTCCTCATCATCCTGGCTACCATCGTCGTCATGACCTCCTTGTTTCTGTGCCCGGCCACTGCAGTCATCATCTATCGAATGCGGACTCATCCGGTTCTCAATGGGGCTGTCTGAGACCATTGAAAGTGGGATGGCGTGTGATAAGAACACAGGTCTCTCCCCCAGCCTCTTCTCAGAGAGACAGTGGAGAAGATGCAGGAGTTGGACTTGCAGTTTAGTTTTGATTCTGCAGCTGGCTGACAGTGTGAATTTGACCAAGGGACCTAACGCTCTGGGTACCAAGCTCCTTAGCTTTCAGCCAGGGGTCATGGTCCCTGCCTCCCGCTTCACAGGGTTGAGAACCATGGAAGTGAATGCTGTTTGTGAGCAGTGAAGCCACACAGATGTGTGCCGTGCAGTGAGAAACTTTGCAGAACCAAAGATCCTTGAAGCTGCTGATGGTAAAGGAGGTGAGGGAGACTGGGAAAGAGCAGCTTTGGCCAGGGCCCCTCGCACCAAACCATGGAAGTCTACCCCATCCTCAGCAAATCAAACTTCTGATTTGTGAAACTTCTTCCATTTTTCTCTGTTGGGGAGAAGGAGCTGATATGGCAGAGAGAGAGAGATGAGCACAAGTTTCACAAACTTCTCTGCCAATCTCTGCCCCGTGTGACTCGAAGGAGAGCTTTGCCATAATTTAACAGTGCCCAAGGTGTTAGTGCAGTGACTTGCTTTCTGCACTGAGTCTCATGTCTCTGTTAGCTTTGACTCTCAAGCAGTGTTAGAAATGCAAGGTGGCTGAGTTTTCTGCCCAGCATTCTAGCCCCTTCGTGTGACCCCCAGGAGAGAATTTCCCTCTGCCTGAACTTTGTTGTCGCTATCTTCGTGATTTTGTTTAGTCATTTTTGTTTGTGGCACTGGAGAACTCGGGGCCGTGTTCTGTCATTGAGTTACAAGCCCTTCCAGCTCCAGCAGCCATCTAAAGTACTTATTATTTTAAGAGATTTCCCAGGACTCTTGAACCCGACTCAAAACAATGATGGTTATTTTAGATGCTATGATTTATATTTACATAGAGATATTTCTAGACTATTAAAGCTTTCCCTTTGATACTCAAGTCAGGGGCATCTTGGGATCTATTGTTATGTAAGAAGATAGCATAGATATTAGGATTGTGTCAAATGATGCTGACTTTGATCTTACTTCATTGATGTATGCATCCAATTTCCAATAAAGTGCCGCACTGACCATGTGTAAAGTTTTTCTTTTAAGAATACCTACCTGGGGCTCCCAGGCAGTGGGATCGGGACCTGTCCCTAGTGCATGAGCTGGCTTTTTGGAACCTAGTGACTATGGTGGGACACTTTGTGCAGCCTTGGTACAGGAAGGAGGGGCTTGGACCTGCCTCAACTGAATGTACCAGGCTCTGCTGACTCCCCATGGGAGACTTTGCCTTGGAGGAGGTGTGTTGGGGGAAAGGCTGGGGAACGGGAGGAGGGAGGACAGCAGAATCTGTGCTTGGTATGTAAAATGAATAGGAAATCTCTTAATAAAAAATATATATTAAAAAAAAGAACACCTACCTGAACTCAGAACTTAGATAAAAGGATTCAACTCAACTGTGTTTTGCTTTTTCAGTTCTGCTGTCAATTCAGGGCTGTGTTCACGCTAGGCAATGGCTTTACCACAGAGCTCTGGGCCCTTCCTTCAGGATGCAGTTGGCAGTCTCCTTCAGTTCCTTGGGAACGAGTTTGCAGTTGTAGTTATGGTTTGGAAGATACGAAGAATGGTCCTGTCCTCATCATCCTGGCTACCACTGTTATCATGACCTACCTCCCTGTTTCTGTGCCCGGCACTGCAGGTATCATCTATCGAATGCGGACTCATCCGGTTCTCAGTGGACAGGATCACTGTCCGCATTGTGGAGTGAGGTGCTAAGTCCAGAGCCCGGAGGATGCTAAGTAGGAGTGTAAGGGGCAGAGAAGGAGAAGACAGAAGCAAGGAGATTGAAAGGCCCATGCAGTATGAAGGAAAGGTCCAGTCACACAGGCTAAGGAGTGAGCAGGCTATCAGGAAGCCAAAGCAGAGCGAACAAACAAGCTTCCCACGGACAGCACTGTAGTAAAGCGGCAAAAGTTAAGGGGGCGTGGGGAGGCTGGCAGAAGGAATGTGTCTCGGTCCACTTGTGCTGGGTGTTGGCTTGCACCACTGTCACAGAAGCACCTGACCTCACGGGAAGGAGGAAAGGTTTCTTGTGGCTCTGTTTCAGTTCATCATCGGGAAAGCATGGAGGAATTGGTTCCAAACGTCGTAGAGGGACCTTCAGAAACAGCTGTTCTTGTGGCTTCGATGAGGAAGCGGAGAGCACAGCTGGATTCACAAACGGTGTACAGAGCGGTTCTGCAGCACTAAGACTCTGTGTGTTCTTTCTGTTCATAAAATCGCCTGCCTGTCTTCCTGATTCAGGGCCACCAATCCGTTCTCTGACAGTGTAGGTGTTTTGTTTTGTTTTTTCCCTTTTCTGGAATGTTAGGTCAATGCTGGTGTGTGTGTGTCTTCGAGGCTTGTTTCTTTGAAAACGTATGCTTTCAGGAGTACCTTAATCTGTGTATCCACTTGGTTCTGTTTTACACAGGCTTGTGCTGCATCCTGCTTATTGTCCGAGACAGCGTCTCTCAGTGATCTGCTTTCCATTTTAGACAGGCTGGCTGGCCAGCAAGTTCCTGGGCTCTGCCTGTTTCTTCCCCTCAACCCCCAGTGGGGTTACCAGCACACACTTGAGATTTGAACGCAAGTCCTCATGCTTACACAGGATGCTGTTATCCACTGAGCCATCTCTCCAGCCCTTTGTATAGTTTTATATGAACACAGCCTTTCATTCGTCCTTAATTTTTTTACATATTAATTTATGCATATATGTATTATACACGTAGGTGGAGGCGAGAGTTCAACTTGCTGACATCAGTTCTCTCCTGAGCACGTGGGTCCCAGGGATTGAACTGAGGTGTCAGGTTTGGCCGCAAGCGCCTTTACCGGCTGAGCCGTCTCACTAACCCTGCTTTATTTTTCTTTGGTAAGTACCTAGCATCAGCAATGCTGGTTAATGTGGAATTTCTATTTTCTAAGACTGGCAAACTATTTCCTATGGGCGCATTCCCAGCAGCATGAGGCGAGGTTATGCTTGCTAAGTGTCTTAAATCACATTTGGAATCCTTGCCCATTCTAGCTGGTGTGTTCTATTTGTCATGGGTGTTTCTTTCTGCTAATATGTCTGTTTAAGTTTTAGCCCTGTTTACAAAATCGAGTTGCTTGTCTTCTTACTATTGAATTTAAGGAAATCTTTATATGTTGTGCATAATGTCTGATTCTTAATTTGCAAATATTTTCTCCAAGTCAGTAACATTTTTTTTTTTTCATTTTATCAACTTTTTTTTTAAAGCAAATTTTGATAGGTCTATTAACTTTTTCTCTGAGCGATGTTCTGAGGGCCCTTGCTTTTTCTTCATGTGAATGGCAGTTTTGAATGGTGTTCTGGAGGGTTTGATTATTATGCCTTTACGGAGAACGCTGATTTCTTTTGGACGTGGTGAAGGCAGCCCTTTTTTTCCCCTGCCTGACGTTTTCTATTGGTGCCAGCAGAATCACAGTTTCCTAAGCTTGCCCGTCCTCGTGGAAGCCGTTTCAGCCTTGCTCCATCTAGTGGACAGCTTTATACCAGGGCAGCCAGCCGCCTCTTCCCCACTTTCCAAAGCTTCCGGTATGTACATCCGGTTTATGGAAAAAGCGGGTTCATCTTAACTTGGGGCTGAGCCCCGCTGTCTCTGGACAACTCTGGAATTGTTTCCTTCGGCGCCCTTTTCCATAGCTGATTCCCAAACACTTTCTTCCTGGTTCTGGAAATAGAAACAAAAGGCTTAAGCATCCGACTCAGTTACCAGGCGCTGGGGACGAGAGAGGGAAAACCCCCGGTGTCCGATGCTTGCCCTCAGTTCTGTGGTTGGCGACAAATGCTGCTTGCGATCTCTGTGCAGCTGCCTGGCCACTGCTTTTTTGGAGCAAAAGCAACTGCCAGCTCCAAAAAGCAGGACAGGAAGTACCTTTGGTTTAAACCGAGCAAGAAGCTTTTATTTTTCTCCCTTCCCCTTCGACAAAGGAGAGGAGCAAGGAAAAAGAAAACTTTGAGAAACAAAGTTAAATAAATGAAGGGACAAAGGAGAGAGTGGAGAAGTCATGTAGGAGAAGAGAGAAGAGCAAGGAGAGTAGAAGAAAAATTAAAAAATTTCCTAACCGTGGAAAAACCCATAACCAAATCAGATACATAGAGGGAGGTAAAATAAAAATAAACTCATTTGAAAGTATTTATCAATTATTATTTTGAAAAGAAAACTCACGTTTATTTGCATAGCAGGGTAAAGCTGGAGACGGGCCTTTCACCCTGTGGGACTGACTGGTCTCCACATCTGTTTACAACTCACGTTCTGCAACTATCTTGTTCTTTTTTTAAACACATTTTTTAATTGACTTTTTTTTGGGAATTTCACATCATGTACCCCCAATCCTGCTCATTTCCTAGTCCTTCCATGTCTGCCCTCCACCCTTGTAACCTCACCCCCCAAATAGAACAAAACAAAAACAAACAAAAAACATCTTGAGGACCCCTCAGGGCAACGACCTGCTCCTCTGTTAGCTGCAGCCTTTTTACACTCAACACAGCTGTCTCCTACCACTTCCCTGTCTTTCCCGCCTCCCCATCACATATTCATTCCTCTTAGTGGCACTGGGAGCTGTGGTGTGTCACGCAGTATTCTGTTCAAAGAGCTTTACTTGCAAATGTTCATTGCAGTGAGTCAGTGGTCTGGTTCAAGGCTCCTGGCATCTGATACATCATCAGTACTGGACCCTCACCGAGATTCCTCTCGGATATCCAGCTGTTGCCCTGAGTCACGGAGATCCTGTGGGTGTGGTTCCGCCATCTCCCGGAGTCCACATGATCAAGGCCAGCTCTCCTGCACGACCACAGCCAGCTCTCCCAAGCCCACACCATTGCTGGTGCTGCTGTGTGGCAGCAGGTGAGGGGTGGGGTCAGCTCAGCGCTGCCCTTGGGTCTCAACATGACTTGAGGTGGCAGCCCAGACCACAGGCATCCTCATGGCTTTTGGTGGTTAACATGGGCCACAGACATGGCCCTGGGCCACAGACATGGCCCTCAGCCACAGCACGGGCCTAGACATCACCACCGCCCCAGGTGGCAGCAGAAGCCACCCAGATCAGCGTGGTCTTCAGACATCAATATGGCCTTAGGTGGCAGCCTAGACCACTGACATCTATCTGCATGGCTCTTGGTGGCAACATTGGCCATGAACATCAACACAGACCTCAGCTGTGGCAGGGTCATGGACACAGACATGGCCTTCTGTGATAAATGTGGCCCGGACATCACATGGCCTCAGGTGGTAGTGCAGGCCCCTCACATCAGCCTGTTCCTCACCTCTGTCTCCTCTCCAGCTCTGCCTCCCTCCACAGCCTGTGCACCATTCCTCTTGTCTTTCTCTTCCATCTCTCCATCATATATGTGCTCATTGTAGTGGTGAGCTCACCCTGTCGGCCCGCCAGAACTTTTATTTTTACATGTGCATGAAGGTGTTTTGCTCCAAGTTTGTGTACCATTTGCATGCAGTGCTTAGAGAGGTCAGAAGGGAACATCAGATCTTCCTGGCACTGGAGTTACAGATGGTTATGAGCTGCCATGTGGGTGCTGGGAACCAAACCCAGGTCTTTTGGAAGGGCAGCCAGTGCTTATATCAGGTTCATATAAGGTTAAGGAAGAAGGTGTGGAGATGGGTTAACCAAAACTATATGTGAAAAACCTCTATGGTAGTGGGTCTCAACTTTGCTAATGCTACAACCCTTTAATACAGTTCCTCATGTGGTGACCCCCAATCATAAAGTTATTTTCATTGCTACTTCATAACTAATTTTGCTACTGTTATGAATTATAATGTAAATGTCTGATATGCAGGGCATCTGATATGTGACCCCTGTGAAAGGGTTGTTCAACCCCCAGGTTGGGAACCACTGTTCTATGAAATCCCACTACTTGTAAGACAGTTAACTAAAAAGTAGGGGTTTGAACACAGACACTGTGCATGTATGGACAATGAAATCATAAGACTCCAAAACAGGCTGTTGCCATTGGTTTTGGTTGTTCACCCAAGCTAGATGTGTGTGAGCCCTTTCACTATTCCCCAATTC